TGGCATTCTGTTCTCAGGGTTGTACTTAATGTTTCGAAATCATGACTAGCGGGGTAAGATCGGCAACATAAAGCCACATTAGAAGCAAAGGATAAAAATCAAACAGATGATAAATGAAAACATGTTTGCATTTGTTATTCATGTATATATGTCTTTGAACTTGCATTTCGTAGTAATAGTATTAAATGAATGTTGGATTTGTATTTCTTTGTTTTAATAGTGAATTCCAACTTATACATTGTTGAAAGCATAATTTTATATACGTGCCTATCTTGCCCCATTACTGTTGCCCCTATATCAGGGGCAACTTTAATAAAAATAATTAAAATAATTACAACTTTACAAGAAGAGAGAAGTTGTAATTATTTTAATTATTATCATTTCCAAACTGATTTTAACATGTTCTATAGTAAGGTAACATTCCAATAGACAATACGCAAAGCTTTTTTTTTCAGTTTACAGCAGTATTTATTACACAAAATTTAAGTAAAGCTTAACATGCCGATCTTGCCCCGGTCTCCCCTATACATATGCTTATATCGTAAATTTTGTTGATTTATCATTTATTGTTCGAAAACAAGATTTTAAATATTTTTCTTATCTCTTAAGTGCCATTTTTCTTTAAAACAAATGCAAAAAATGAAGACTGTATTGTAGTTGTCAACAATGACATACAGAAAACAGGAAGATAGATTAAATTTAAAAAATTTTACGACGGTCAAATTCCGTTAATACAAAGTTTCGATTTGTCACTTTGCATTAAACAAATCTTACAAATTTCAACGGTCACAAAACTTGCCATTTGATACATAATCGAGAGGTGTATTAAATGGTAAAATCCTCATTTTATCTCATTTATTTCACTGTTTTATCTGTTTGGGTTTGTCATTCTTTTCCCAATTCTTTTATCTGTTTGGGTTTCCAAATGTATACTTTCCATGTTATAATGGCTTAAAGAAAGAATCAACACTGGTTTTTCGAGATTGGCTAAAGTTGTTGAACGACGATTAAGACGATCAAATTGAATCCGGGAATTGGATACCCGTATAACTTTTCAAATTCAAATATATCTTATTTCTCGAATTTCGATAAAAACGGTTTATTTCTAATATTAAAACTTCGAATTAATGCATAATTTAATAATGTATTTTGGTTTATCGTTATTAAAACAATTACCATTAATAACTATTTTATAATCTACAGATTTTTAATCGAAAATCTCCCAATTCTTTAACGTGAGGATAGCCAAAGTAATTAAGGCGTTAACCTACAGTTCTGAGAATCTAGGATCGAATCCGGGAAGATCGCAATGTCAGAGGTGTTTTTCGTGGCCGTGTCCCGAATACATCAGGTTCTGTCCATCACTAGCGGGTCCTCTCTATTGAGCCGACTGTCTGGTCGAATCCGCGACATGAATGAAAAAATACGTCTCTTACCGTCCATAAGGCAAAAAGTGTAGAAACACGGTAAAAGAAAGTCACTTCAAATTTTAAAGTACGAAAAACNAATTACCATTAGTAACTATTTTATAATCTACAGATTTTTAATCGAAAATCTCCCAATTCTTTAATGTGAGGATAGCCAAAGTAATTAAGGCGTTAACCTACAGTTCTGAGAATCCAGGATCGAATCCGGGAAGATCGAAATGCCAGAGGTATTTTTCGTAGTCGTGTTTCGAATACATCACGTTCTGTCCATCACTAGCGGGTCCACTCCATTGAGCCGACTGTCTGGTCGAATCCACGACAAGAATGAAAAAATAGTTACTTTAATATATACTTTAAATAGTTTGTGTGATTTTCGTAATAAAAATGCAGTTCGTTATTTTTTTTAATCAAACCTATTTGTATCACAAGACCATGTGTAAGGTTTGCGGACGTTGAGGGGGAAAAAGTCTATCTCACGTCAGAATGAGCCTAAGGGGAACCGCGTATGTGGGCGGTGGCGAAGGAGGCAAATGATGANATAATAATAATAACATATGCAACTATAAATGCTATATATATATATATAATAATATAAATGGAATTTTAAAAGATAATCGACTGATTGACTATTTTTTACAATATCTGAGATCATGAATCAAATATCTAACGAGAATATTTGAAAGTGTGAGAATACAGGGGCTGTCTTTCTATAAAAGTTTAACGAAAAAATACTGCTAGAAACTTTCTCTTTTACCATCCGTTTCTCACGGACTTAACGGTCAACGAGTCCCCCCCTTCTCGTTGACCCGCGAAATGATCGCAAATATGTGAGAAAGCCGACACTTAAGTTTTGTCTAAGAAGGAAATTTAAAACAATCGAAGGAAATACGAAACCTTCGAATAAGGTATGGCGATCGGGCAAAAAATGATTCCCTAAAATTTCTACATTTTTTGGACTCAGAGGACTTTGAAATGTCAAGAAATAAGAAAAAAAGTTCGGGAGTAATTCCTGTATGAATGGATGTTATTGTGGAGGACATAATTTCGTTCATCCTCATTGAAAGCTTAACATCTATGCTTTTGGTCGAAAATTTTTGAAATTTTGCACGGGAGTTTTCTTATTAAATGGACTGATACGGTTAAATTTTGGTGATTAAAGTTCGATGGGATGTGGATATGAAAAGGGTCGGGTGTATCTTCACTAGAATCAGACTTAACGAGATTATACTCGTTATTAGCATTTACAATTTTTTATAAAACACATCCCCACTCTCAAAATTAAGCTTTTTGTCATTTTATAATAGTTAAAATATATAATGTTTTTGATAAAATACGTTAAGAGATGATTCCACCAAATTGTTGCCGGAAAAGTTAAGCTTACGTTGCAGGATTTTTTAAAATGTTAATGTCGTTCTGGCCCACGTGTAAATAATTAAGATATTTTTAAAAGATATTCAATTAAAAAGTGTCGAATAAGAAAATGCTAATAAGAAAAATTCTATATAAAAGAACAAGATGAAGCATGCCCCAACAAAAATGTCCGGGTACGTCTGCGGTGTAGGTATCGAAGTGTCAATACGCTGTAAGTCTATTCGTGCATTAAGCTTTAATTGTAATTTTATAAAATAAATTAGATCACTCGGCACTTTTGTAAACTTTCTGTCTTCTCAACGACCCCCTAATCAATTGCGGGCATTACCCATCTATTTCAAACACTCATTTATAAGAACAATCAATTCAAAAATATATTCCTTACGTGTATTTTTCAAAATTTTAATTTACTAAAACTTCGAGGTTTACAAACAGTTAATTATAATACACAAACTTTATTTTTATTTTTTAGGTTATAATATTTCTTTTTTAAGCATATTTTGCATATTTGATGTGTTCGTCTGTGTTTATTACTCAGATCCTTGTACAAATCGTAATATACTTTGGCAATATTTTTCACCGATATNATATATATATAATAATATAAATGGGATTTTAAAAGATAATCAACTGATCGACTATTTTTTACAATATTTGAGATCATGAATCAAATACCTAACGAGAATATTTAAAAGTGTGAGAATACAGGGGCTGTCTTTCTATAAAAGTTTAACGAAGATACGGCTAGAAACTTTCCCTTTTACCATTCGTTTCTTACGGACTTAACGGTCAACGAGTCCTCCCCTTTCTCGTTGACCCGCGAAATGATCGCAAATATGTGAGAAAGCCGACAGTTAATTTTTGTCTAAGGAGGAAATTTAAAACAATCGAAGGAAATACGAAATATGAAACCTTCGAATAAGGATATGGCGATCGGGCAAAAAATGATTCCCTAAGATTTCTACATTTTTGGACTCAGAGGACTTTGAAATGTCAAGAAATGCGAAAAAAATTCGGGAATAATTCCTGTATGTAGGGATGTTAGTGTGGGGAGACACAATTTCGTTAATCCTCATTGAAAGCTTAACATCTATGCTTTTTGTCGAAAATTTCTGAAATTTTGCACGGGGGTTTTCTTATTAGGTGGACTGATACTGTTAAATTTTGGTGATTAAAGTTCGATGGGATGTGGAGATGAAAATGGTCGGGTGTATCTTCACTAGAATCAGACTTAATGAGATTATACTCGTTATTAGCATTTACAATTTTTTATAAAACACATTCCCACTCTCAAAATTAAGCTTTTTGTCATTTTATAATAGTTAAAATATATATAATGTTTTTGATAAAATATGTTAAGAGATGATTCCACCAAATTGTTGCATGGAAAGTTAAGCTTATGTTGCTGGATTTTTTAAAATGTTAATGTCGTTTTGGTCCACGTATAAATAATTAAGATATCTTTAAAAGATATTCAAAAGATATTCAATTGAAAAGTCTCGAATTTATCTACCGAATTCTGGCAATATATATGCTAATAAGAAAAATTCTACATAAAAGAACAAGATGAGGCATGCCCAACAAAAGTGTCAGGGTACGTCTGCGGTGTAGGTATCGAAGTGTCAATATGCTGTAAGTCTATTCGCGCATTAAGCTTTAATTGTAATTTTATAAAATAAATTAGATCACTCGGCACTTTTGCAAATTTTCTGTCTTCCCAAATGACCCCCTAATCAATTGCGGGCATTACCCATCTATTTTAAACACTCATTTATAAGAACAATCAATTCAAAAATATATTCCTTACGTGTATTTTTCAAAATTTTAATTTACTAAAACTTCGAGGTTTACAAATAGTTAATTATAATATACAAAGTTTATTTTTATTTTTTAGATTACGATATTTCTTTTTTAAGCATATTTTGCATATTTGATGTGTTCATCTGTGTTTATTACTCAGATCCTTGTACAAATCGTAATACAGTAGAACCTCGAAAACTCGGCGTAATGTGGACCGAAGGGTGGCCGAGTTTGTGAAAATGCCGGGTTATCGGGAATGGGGTTTAAAAAAATAAGTACGAGTGTTTCCTCAGAAAATACTGTACTGACTTGTATGTATTGTTTACTTGAGAATATAACAGAGAATAAACTGCCCAAATACCCTTAAACAAAGGAAAAGTACGTCCTTTATGAAGGCATAGAACCTTTACTACATGAAAATTAATGAATACACTGTGTACAGTAAGTTACCTGATAAGACAGACCTCAGAAAAATACTTTCTGAGAGCTTTTATACTTTTATAAAGCTGTCTATAATGAAAATTAATTAACTAAGGATTTTTTTGCCCTGCCAGGGTGTGGCCGAGTTATCCGGAGTTCCGGGTTATCGAGAGCCGAGTTTTCGAGGTTCTACTGTACTGTATACTTTGGCAATATTTTTTACCGATATCCGAATTTTAATAACAACAAATGTCAAGACAAATGTCGAAATTTAATTTTTGGCAAAATAAATTTTCATATAGTCAATAATGTTTAAAGAGAGAGTTAAAAGTGCTTAGAAAAAAATACTAAATATTATTCTAAAAACATAACTAGAATCACCAAAAAAGAAATAATAGGTCTTAAATAGAATAATAGTAACTTAATTCTAATTTTTAAATTACTCTTTATTTTAATCTCCAATTATATAAGATATCCATCTAACATTCTTTAAAGATAATAAAATTATTAACAGAATAGACTTATTAATTTTATACTTGTCTTATATCTATATGTCATGATTTGTAAAGCACATTATACAAAACTGTATGATATAATAATAATATCGCTCGTAACACAAATATTTTATTTTATGCTTCTTAAGTTTTTATCTTTAGACATAATGTAGAATCAAATACAATATGTTATTAATATCGAAACCGAAGCATGTACTGTACAGTACATTCATATAATCCTACAGTTCAAAGTTGCATTCAACTGTAATTATAATAAAGCGATTTAGTGTAAAACAACGTATATAATTTGTTAAACTGATTTAATAGCCGATGATATTAAGTAACCGCTAAATTTAGCAACCGGATGTTGTTGATCATTTTCCATAAAAAAGCAATGTTTTTTAACGAATCCGGCTTCCTTTAATGTTTCATTTACAAACTCTCGAGTTACAAAAAGAGATGGAAGTTTTTCATTGTTTCCTAAGTAATAATAAGAACATTCCAATACGGACACCATTACAAATCCTCCATTCGGCAAAATATAATTTCCGAAGTTTTTAACGGCGGTTTTATAATCTTCTAAAGTGGCGCAAGCCCCTTCTAAGCACAAAGAGGTAAACAACACGTCAAACTTTCCCACGTCCGAGAAAATGATGTCTTTCTGCAAGATATCGCAAGGAATTACTTCTTTTATTTTTTGTCGCAATCGAAGTTTAATTTCGTTTATTCCTTCTTCGACGTTTCTGTTCAAATAAATAATTCAAGTTAAATAAGTGAATTATAATAAGTATTAGGAATAAACATATAAGTTATTAAATAAGTATGCAAACGTTATAATGTAAATTACTTTATTGTCACAAAAAATAAACTATTATGATTTTGTGAGGATAAGAAATTTCGTGTTATAAATTTAATCTTTTATAAATTTTAATTAAACTTTTAATGCAACTTTATAAATACGGAACGAATTAGATAAAAAAAATTAAAAGAGAAAAGGGAAAAGTAAAATCGATAAAATCTGGTTAAACCTCGATTCCCACGAGTCGGGTTCCTTGTTGAGGTGAGTACATCTCTGTGTCACGATTGTGTCACCCGTCACCTCATTGGTCCAAGGAGATCGTCATCCCTGACGAAATCGGGGAAAGGCCCGAAAAGAGGACTTCATATAAAAAGGATAGGCACTATGAGTAAGATCGGTGGAAGTTATGAATTGATTGTGTGTGTGTGCGACACGTCCACCTCCCGCCGAGATCAACTTCGAGAAACTGTACCTATATGTTTATTTCCTCGCCGACTGAACTTTGGAACGTCAACGAACTTCCAGAGTGCTACTTCGGAAAACCAAGGATTTGGGAACTTTATTACTCGAAACCCAGTATAAATTAAGGTATTTATCCTGGCCGCGCATTATTGTACGCTCTCTCTCTCTCCGCGTAAACTAATCGCGAACTCGATTATAACTAGAAACCGGAAATGAGGAAAAGACCAATGCCGAACGCGATTCATGTAACTTATCTTTAGACATATACTAACTTTGTAACCTTAAATTCTGATGTATAACTAACTTAGATTTAAAATAAATAAACGGTTATTTATGTTTAAAACATCTTTGGGTGCAGTTTCTTCCGCTCTTCTCTCCGTTCACTCCATTCCGGGTCCAAACCTCATACGTAACCGCTTGCGCAAACTTGTGGGTCTCTGTATCGACCTGAGGATACAGTGGTGTCATCCTGACGTGGTATCGAAGAGATACCGACCCTACGGTCACAATTATGATGCAATTGCTTTTTTTTATATGTAGTAAAACTTCTTTAACTCAAATATTTTTTTAACTCGAAGAAACTGAAGCACTCGGTAGATCTCGATGAAAGAGCAAAGGGATTTAACGTCTCCAACATGAATTTTTTAACTCGAATTTTCTCCAACTCGAAGGTTTTCGTGGCTACCCGACGCCGATTTATGTTAATTTTAACTTCCTCGACTCGAATTTTAATATTTATTCTATCTAAAGTGATCCTAATTTTCGGATTTCCATGAAATGTTCAAACATTTAGTTGTCTACTCTTCAACACCAATTTGCAGACAACGTTTCAATCCAAAACGAGAGGTCCTCTGGCTTTATCTCAACAAAATATACCTGTAAAACTGTTCGATTTCATTAGTTATATTGAACATTTTGCCGAAAGGCGTTACACTGACTGTTTAAAAAGAAAAAACTAGCAAAGATTTTTTACATAATGCAAGAAAGGCAAAAATACAAATCTACTCAGAATCGACAATTTTTTTACTCTATTATTCTCTAACTTGAATAATCTATAACAAGATTTTTCCTGCCCCTTAGAGCTTCGACTTAGAGAAGTTTTACTGTACTTAATAAATTTTATTCGTAATAAATTAATTTCGTAAAACATACCCATATCCTTCAAGTAATGCTTCCGTTCGCATCAAAGTATCCCAATCTTTCGACGATGTTTCGTTTTTTAACCATTCTTGAATAGCTTCACGGTTGTGCTCCGTATAATCAGATAAAACAATTTCCGAGAAATATTTACTCGGTGCTGCCATTCTGTGAACAGTCGGGCCACATCCTACGTCAAGAATTCTCTTGCCTCGAAAGGCTTCTGTTAGAATGAAAAGAAAGATTTACTTTAGTTCTCAAAATGAGTCAAAACACNCTAACCTCATAGGCAATTCCCACAACAGAAACAGATAATTTTGTAATACATGTTATTATTTTAAGCTTTCTTTTATGAATTACAACATAAGAAAACTAGTATAACTTATAGATTTACCTCATATAATACAGAACCTATACTAATTAGGGTTTGGATAATTGAGGTTATATTGTGCATTAAGAATGCTTAACAAATTAACATGTTTAAAAATTTTATATTTTGATACTGTTGTTTATCATGAATTTTTGAATTAATTTAATAATATATTATGATTTAATATAGAGATTACAGATTTAATTTTTATACAATTAAAGCAAATAATTGTTTATATTAGATATTGGATACTATTTATTTTGGACCAAAGTTTATGATACGTTGTATTGCTCAACCACTGTCATCTGAAGGAAGTTCTGGAATTGCACTGAAAAGCAATGTTGCTAAAATTGGAAGTCATAATGGTAAGTAAAGTAACTTTTAATAAGCAACATACATTTTTAAATAGATAGCTTTCATAATAAATGTTTTCAGTGCAGTTATTAATTTAAAATTAAAATATTCTCATTTTGTCACACCTAAATTTTATTTAGCATGTAAGACTTACTAGGAACATCATCAGGACTGTTGAGAGAGTGTCTGGGACCTTGGGGTAGTGGATCCTTTTGCCATTGTTTTTTGAATAAATGAAATACACAGTGTTTGTTTATTAATAAAAAGTAGCTTTAAAGCTTTTATTATTTTTTTTTAGTAAAATAACATTGATTTATCTGAATAGAATGTAATATGGGTGCTGAAGTTTTCTCTGAATGTGGAGAAAAATCCTCATCTTCCTCTCATCCTTGATGGCCTCAAACATTACTTAACTGTCCCTTTTGATTTTGATAATTCTTACACATGTCATCAAAAACTAAGACACACATTTTATTTTTGGGTTTTATCTATATGCTATCAACAATAATGCATTTTTAGGCTATAAAATCAAATCCTCAAAATTAGGTGTGCCTAGCACTGATTTTATTGTTTCTAATAGGAATACAGTAATACCTTGACTTACGCTACCCTGACTTACGCAAACCTGGAGTTACGCGATTTTCAAATCTCGCCGATTCGTCTTTTGCTTGAGCACCATGCAACTCTTGATTACTCACTTCCCCCACACTATTGTTCAGCTTACATGTTTGGACGTGTCACGCGGAATCAACGCATAGCTACAATTTATTTTGTGTTATTTATTTCAGTGTTTGTTATATCTATGGAGACTTGAGAGACTTTATGTGGTGATTTCTTGTAACCGTGAACGAATCAAAAGACGAGATAAGATTAACGAGAACATTTATTAGCTTACATACATCCGACTTGGATTTTACACAAATTGCGAAATTATACCCCGACTTACGTGAATTCGACTTACGCGGTTATCGCTCGGTCCCACCTATCACGTAAGTTCGGGGTATAACTGTAATCAATTAAACATAAATATATGTTACTATTCGTTTTTATCTTTGTGGTTATATTATGTTAATTTATTATTTAATAATAGAATTTTTGATTTCGTGATTTTTTTCTTTGTCTAATAGATTTAAGTGATTTTATTAGAGAAATATTTACCAGCGTGAATTGTTATTTAAATTAAAACTTACCATCGCGAAATATTTGATGCAGACAAAATGAAGCAAATTCTTCCATTTCTATCACTTTATTGAGAACATTACTTCGATAATTGTCGGTAAAATTTCGATCTTTGTACAATTTGGAGAAAGCATATTTATCACCAGAGTCAATTTCCATTACTGCTGTTTATAATGTGCACAAGCGAGTCTAAATTAAAGAGTAAGTCTGCATTAAATAAATATCATTATAACAACAGCAAGTAAAAAAACAATATAAACCTATATATAAATACAGTATAATAATAAACACAATAACTATACAAAAAGCATTAAATTGATTTATGCAATTATGATAGTATCTACTTTAATGGTTTAGGTCGATTGTGCAGCGAAGAAATCTCTCTTTTCGTAAGTTCAAATCAAATTCAAATCTTGTAATCTGGTGCCAGAACAGAATACAATAAATAAAAATATGACAATAACTACAATAAATTAGGAAAAGAAAAATGTGGCATATAAGTATAATTGCAGTTCTATAAATCCAAATGTAAATCGTTTATTTTAAAGAAGCCTTTCAAAAAATTGATAAAAATCGAATTAAAAAAGAGATTTTCAATGCATGATATATAAAAAAAAGAAAGAATAAAAATAGCTGTTTTAAAGTCTTGGTCTCTGATTTAATACGGAATTCGGAAGAAAAAAAGACGTGAGGTTTTTCATTAGTTTTATGCTTTATAACTTAATTTTAACCCAAATGTATATGTGGAAGCAACCCGTCGGGAGTTAAGCAGATGTCGCAATTCCAAAACCATGTAATATCGAGGAAAGTGAAATTAGTATTCCTACCAGCCGTAGGAATACTATTCACATTAGGTGTAGGAAGGATGCGGCCGGATGGCCGAGCGGTCAAGGTGGCAGCCTACCGCTCTGGGGGACCCGGGTTTGAATTCGAAGGAATTTTCCAATCCCCAGGAATTTTTCGGTGGTAGTCCGTTCGGATATGTCGGGCCCCGTCCTTTACCACCCGGCAGCCTCATTATGGGCCTGGCCGAACCCATAATAGGCTTGCAAAAAGAGGCCCTCTTAGTTCCCACAGGGCGGAAAGAGCTAAAAAAAAAAAAAAGTGTAAGAAGGACAAAAGACACTATTTACACTATCGCATTTATTCTGACAGTAGAGTAGCTTTACACAGGATTGTCAAGTCTGATAGTCGTTTTAAACTCGTCCATCTCATACACCACATTCTCAGACACTTAGACAACATTAGAATAGATTTCCAATGGATCACGGGTCATGCGGGATTCTTGGCAATGAGACCGCTGACCGTCTACCCAAACAAGCTACAAAGTCTTCAGCAGTAGCGTAGCGTAGTGGGACGGCAGGGCGACCCGCCCCAGGCGGCACTTTTTAGGGGGCGGCAAAATTTCACAATAAATAATAATAATATCTTGTAAGAATTTAAACTATTTTATTTCATATTTTCGTCCACCTACGACTCGGACCGATTGAAATGAGCAGGGAATAATGTTACCGTCCATCCGGATAGTGTAGGAATCGACTCGACGTCCGGGGATATCGTGCGCGACCTGTTGACCTTTCTTTTTTTGTTTTTGCTTGTACGATTTATTCGTATATATATACACCTCCAATATCCAATACAGCTAGGTCACTCGCATTACTCCTATCCAAGTCTCCCTAGTCGCTAACTGTAACTGATTTAGAACCAGCATGCACTGCACATTATTCTTCGCATACGCGTGCGTCAGGAACTTCTATTCGAACAAACCTCACCTGCCGTCCGGGTCAGCGATTTTAATAAGGTGGCAACACTAGCACGGAATTTTATATTACTTATTCTGTGACGAAACTGAATTTTGGTCTTTTAAATTGAGATACCTAAATAAGGGGGCGAAATTTTCCTCCGCCCCGGGCGGCTGACACCCACGCTACGCCACTGGTCTTCAGTCACTAGTACATTCAGTTACATTCCTACCTCGTACATCAACAATCACGTCAAGAAGCAAATCTTCATTCTCTGGCAAGACTGCTGGTAGGCTCACCAACACTTTCATCCCCAAGGGTAACACTACTGCGACTCTTTGCCACTTTTAACTCAGTTACATCCTGACTCAGCTACTTATAGACCACGGCAACTTTAAGCAATACTTGCATAGATTTAATCTCAGGGACAATCCACAATGCGATTGCGGTATTCGGGAAGACCAAACACCACTTCACTTGGTTTTTCGCCGCAATAGGTAAAGTATAATCACATTAAGGATAGTTTAATAAGAGCTGCTATTTTTGAAGGGTACAACTGGCCTCGCAACCCACACCATCTCATTTACAGGAGTACAATATTCCATCAACTACTCTCTCTCATTCATATCCCTTAGTGAGACACGAATAAGTTATAAGTTATAGGCCTACTCATGTAATTACTATATTTAGTACTGACTAATCTTAATAACAAAAATATAGTTAATCGTTTACGGTCTTTTCTCGGTAGTGCAAATTTTTCAATTATTTTTGAGCTTATTATAAGTAACAGTCAGTTCTATTGATCAAATCTTCCCGAGATTTTTTCGATAAATTGTAAAGACGATGTATAAATTACTTAATTTATGACTTAATTTATGAATTTTAGTTGTACACAAAGATCAAATAAAGTATATGCCAAAATAAGTACAAATAAGAATTATGTCTGTATATAAGGTTCAAAAAGTTACCTGCTGCCTCGAAATATAAATTAATTTTTAATTATTAATATATAGAACATACTGATATATTTCGAATTTATATTTAATAGATTTATATCAGAAAACTCTAATTTTACATTATTGAAAGTTTTCAACTTACTTGAGACTGGAGAAGTATTAACAAACGTTTCTAGATTGAATTTCAAGTCAACAAATTACGTAAGCAATATAGTAATATTATTATATTATAATTAATATCAGTTTTCGATTTTGAAATGAAAGTTCAAGAATTATCTACTTGTCTTCATCTTATCAGGTTTAAAGAGGCGTAGCGAGGGAGGATAGACAGATAAAATATCTCCTGGGTGCTAAATACTAAGATTTCTAATAGATGAGTAATAATTTTAAAAATTTGACCACGAAAAATTATTTATTATGCTAATATTAATATTGTAAATATTAAAATTCGCTGATTTATTCATCTTTAGTGCATTGTGATAAAATGTGTACAATCAAAAGTAGGCAATCAAAATTAAGTGCTCCGGTAAAAATAATGGCAAATGCTAATACTAAACGCGTTTTTTGAGTTACCTGCCGATGTGAATTTACCAACAGCTGCGTGTCAAACTACGCAAATACTTAGAACACCATAATACCCATTATGTTGGTTTTTGGCAAGTAAAATTTGGAGAACAATGCCTATTTTAAAACGACCTGTTCAAAAGTAAGTAGTCACATCCATAATTCGTCATTCAAATTCGAAAAAGAATCTACTTGATCAGTCAAAGTCGTTTTAACACTGCTAGAAAGCGAATAGGCGAATTTTCAGTAAAGTTATCCCGTGTTGGACAAGTTTGGGTAGAATAATCAAACCGCGAGATGCCAAAATCTGGAGAACTTTTTGTGTTGGTGATCAAAACGATCACCAACACAAAAAGTTGGTAAAAGCATCGGAGCAATTACAAGAGAAAGGAAAATTTATCCTTTGAAAACGTTCGCAAGGTTATAAAGATGGAGAAGTTCGGCACTGTTCAAAATCTTCATCGTTCTATCTGGCCACGATGCACAGCGTTACGAGAATGAGGTTGGTTTTAAAGGATGTATCGCGTGTCGTATTCTGTTCATTTCGAAGGTGAACATTGCGAAGAGGCTAGCCTTTACAAAGGATCATTTAAAAAATCCACAGAGTTTTGGAATAACGTGATTAAGTGCGACGAATCGAAATTTGAGCTTGCGGGCTCAAGACGGTGCCTAATTGTATGGGGGATGAAGAATACTGCCTACAAACCTGCTAACTGCATTGGGACTGTAAAGCATTTCCAATATATGATGGTACAAAGTGTTTCTCTCGTCGTAGACTTGCCGCCTGGCGGAAATCAGCGGTTGCATGGTTGCGAAAATGTATATTGCAATGTCAAAAAACAATCATCAGCGGAAGATATGGGCTTCAACAACGATTTTGCGTTTCAACATAACAACAACTCGAAGCATTCGTCCAAACTTGTCAAGCATTTTTGGCGTTCGACGAATCCAAAGTAATGATTTGAATCCCACCGAACATCTTCCGAAGAATCCTAAAATCTAAGAGGAAAAGCCTGTAAGTTTACTGGACGACTTTATTCGGTGAATGGAACAAGATCAAGACCGAAGTTCTCGAAAAACTGGTAGTTTGGCTTCATTAATTTTTAAATTAATGAGGCCAAACTACCAGTTTTTCCGAGTCAAACTAAGCTCGGAATTATGACGATGTCACAATAAATAATTAAGATTTTCTTTCTTTGTTTTGTTTTAATTCGTAAAGCAAAAAAGTGATTTTCGTACAGAATTTTTATTCCAAATGTCAATTGTCTAGAACTGCAGCAAACCACGTAACCATCTATCATTGACACATTTTTTTATTATTCTCTGTCTAATATAAATTTATTTCAAATCGTACCGTCTTAGTAATTCCTGTTCAGTATTACATTCAATTACTGGCGTAAAGAACGCATTATCGAGTAATGTTCAAATAAGTTCACATTTATTTATTAGTGGGATACGTCTGATGACTACAGTATGTATACAGTATATAATCATATATCCTACATATTCTCAAGAATTTTCAACCGTATTAACATTTAACTGCTGGTGATAGCTATATTACTATATATATACGTTACTAGGTCCTATATGTCCTATTGTTCTTATAAAATGAACTGTCAATTGAGTCTGGTTATACAGTAGAAACTCGAAAACTCGGCCTAACGCGGACCGAAGGGTGGCCGAGTTTGTGAGAATGCCGGGTTATCGGGAATGCGGTTAAAAAAGGATAAGTATGCGTGTTTCCTCAGAAAATAGTGTACTGTACTTGTATGTATTGTTTGCTGGAAAATACAACAGAGAATAAACTGCCCAAATACCCTTAAACAAAGGAAAAGTACGTACTTTATGAAGGCATAGACTTATTTATTATGCTAATATTAATATTGTAAATATTAAAATTCGCTGATTTATTCATCTTTAGTGCATTGTGATAAAATGTGTACAATCAAAAGTAGGCAATCAAAAGTAAGTGCTCGAGTGAAAATAATGGCAAATGCTAATACTAAACGCGGTTTTTTGAGTTACCTGCCAATGCAAATTTACCAACAGCTGCGTGTCAAACTACGCAAATACTTAGAACAACACCATAATATCCATTATGTTGGTTTTTGACAAGTAAAATTTGGAGAACAATGCCTATTTTAAAACGACCTGTTCAAAAGTAAGTAGTCACATCCATAATTCGTCATTCAAATTCGAAAAANACGAAAAATTATTTATTATGCTAATATTAATATTGTAAATATTAAAATTCGCTGATTTATTCATCTTTAGTGCATTGTGATAAAATGTGTACAATCAAAAGTAGGCAATCAAAATTAAGTGCTCCGGTAAAAATAATGGCAAATGCTAATACTAAACGCGTTTTTTGAGTTACCTGCCGATGTGAATTTACCAACAGCTGCGTGTCAAACTACGCAAATACTTAGAACACCATAATACCCATTATGTTGGTTTTTGGCAAGTAAAATTTGGAGAACAATGCCTATTTTAAAACGACCTGTTCAAAAGTAAGTAGTCACATCCATAATTCGTCATTCAAATTCGAAAAAGAATCTACTTGATCAGTCAAAGTCGTTTTAACACTGCTAGAAAGCGAATAGGCGAATTTTCAGTAAAGTTATCCCGTGTTGGACAAGTTTGGGTAGAATAATCAAACCGCGAGATGCCAAAATCTGGAGAACTTTTTGTGTTGGTGATCAAAACGATCACCAACACAAAAAGTTGGTAAAAGCATCGGAGCAATTACAAGAGAAAGGAAAATTTATCCTTTGAAAACGTTCGCAAGGTTATAAAGATGGAGAAGTTCGGCACTGTTCAAAATCTTCATCGTTCTATCTGGCCACGATGCACAGCGTTACGAGAATGAGGTTGGTTTTAAAGGATGTATCGCGTGTCGTATTCTGTTCATTTCGAAGGTGAACATTGCGAAGAGGCTAGCCTTTACAAAGGATCATTTAAAAAATCCACAGAGTTTTGGAATAACGTGATTAAGTGCGACGAATCGAAATTTGAGCTTGCGGGCTCAAGACGGTGCCTAATTGTATGGGGGATGAAGAATACTGCCTACAAACCTGCTAACTGCATTGGGACTGTAAAGCATTTCCAATATATGATGGTACAAAGTGTTTCTCTCGTCGTAGACTTGCCGCCTGGCGGAAATCAGCGGTTGCATGGTTGCGAAAATGTATATTGCAATGTCAAAAAACAATCATCAGCGGAAGATATGGGCTTCAACAACGATTTTGCGTTTCAACATAACAACAACTCGAAGCATTCGTCCAAACTTGTCAAGCATTTTTGGCGTTCGACGAATCCAAAGTAATGATTTGAATCCCACCGAACATCTTCCGAAGAATCCTAAAATCTAAGAGGAAAAGCCTGTAAGTTTACTGGACGACTTTATTCGGTGAATGGAACAAGATCAAGACCGAAGTTCTCGAAAAACTGGTAGTTTGGCTTCATTAATTTTTAAATTAATGAGGCCAAACTACCAGTTTTTCCGAGTCAAACTAAGCTCGGAATTATGACGATGTCACAATAAATAATTAAGATTTTCTTTCTTTGTTTTGTTTTAATTCGTAAAGCAAAAAAGTGATTTTCGTACAGAATTTTTATTCCAAATGTCAATTGTCTAGAACTGCAGCAAACCACGTAACCATCTATCATTGACACATTTTTTATTATTCTCTGTCTAATATAAATTTATTTCAAATCGTACCGTCTTAGTAATTCCTGTTCAGTATTACATTCAATTACTGGCGTAAAGAACGCATTATCGAGTAATGTTCAAATAAGTTCACATTTATTTATTAGTGGGATACGTCTGATGACTACAGTATGTATACAGTATATAATCATATATCCTACATATTCTCAAGAATTTTCAACCGTATTAACATTTAACTGCTGGTGATAGCTATATTACTATATATATACGTTACTAGGTCCTATATGTCCTATTGTTCTTATAAAATGAACTGTCAATTGAGTCTGGTTATACAGTAGAAACTCGAAAACTCGGCCTAACGCGGACCGAAGGGTGGCCGAGTTTGTGAGAATGCCGGGTTATCGGGAATGCGGTTAAAAAAGGATAAGTATGCGTGTTTCCTCAGAAAATAGTGTACTGTACTTGTATGTATTGTTTGCTGGAAAATACAACAGAGAATAAACTGCCCAAATACCCTTAAACAAAGGAAAAGTACGTACTTTATGAAGGCATAGACCCTTTACTACATGAAAATGAAAATTAATGAATACACTGTGTACAGTAATTTACCTGATAAGACAGACCTCAGAAAAATACTTTATGAGAGCTTTTATACTTTTATAAAGCTGTCTATAATGAAAATTAATTAACTAAGGATTTTTTTGCCCTGCCAGGGTGTGGCCGAGTTATCCGGAGTTCCGGGTTATCGAGAGCCGAGTTTTCGAGGTTCTACTGTATAAGCGCTATAGCCATCAGAAGAATTTCACTAGTGATTAGTTGTCAAAGCCTTCAAATATCATTTAATAGTTACGTCAGTTACATGTGTAACTATACAGTAGTCATCGGATGTATCTCACTAATAGGAGAATATGAACTCATTCGAACATCACTTGAAAATGCGTTTTTTACACGACTAATTGAAAATAATACTGAAGAGGATTCAATAATACGGATGTGATACAAAATGCAT